TTTACATATTATATGTGTAGATGCTATTATATATGTAAGGGACTAACCATTCTACACCCAGCTGTTAGCTACAGAGGGAAAATGCACATCGACGGATGTCTACGGTTAATACTATTCGGCATCTTCCATGTCGTGTTTATCCTAGTACCAAAGGATAATACTTAAATGATTATATAATTTCCCTTTTACTTTTATTTTGTGACACATTCACATAAACGATGAGGTAGACTATATATTTATAATAATAGTCACATGGGAAAAACTTTCATTACACAGAAATGCAAATTTCAAAGCATTCGGGTCTTGGTAGAAGACTACCTTTTATACTAGTAGGAAATATGGGATTTTCTAGGGTTTTCACACTTATATCAAATGTTTCATCAACAATTGCATGTCTTTCATATCAGCTTTCCAAATTAATGACACCATAATAATTATGAATTCACCAGCTTTATGCTGATCTACACTTTCAAAATAACTTGTATTCTCAGGTCACCAGTAGACAGTTACGATGACCAGGTTTTGAGAAGACGGAGCATAGACAAGACTCGTCTTTTATTTTGATTACATATTTTGGTGTCTTATTACAATGAAAGAACACACATGTATTAAAACTTTACTTTTAATGCAATGGATGATGTTGTTGCTTGTTTACTACTTTGCACTGTTATGATACTTTACATGACGTCCTCCACCCCCGAACGTGTCCGCCGTTCTTGGTTTTGGGGTTTGACAGTCAAGGACTCTAATCTAACTCTAGTAAAGTTCCATATTTATAGGAACAGTGAAAGCATACAAAAAATACTAAGGCATTGACAATTAAGCTTCGTACGAAATACACCTCAGTAAATAAACTTAAAAAAAACATACGAAGGGTAAAACAGACTTCGACATATTACAACAAAATTCGACCCTAACAATCTCCCCCTTTGTAATAATGTCGACCTTCGGCAGTTCAAGAGTATCTGTATAGCATACAACATAACTCTTTGAATCTCAGTGTACCAGGAGATTATCTTCTTCAGTTCCTTCTTATCTCCTTCATTATTCTTCTTGCAGCTATTCATACGAACAATGAAATTCGTATATTGGGATGTTGTATATCTTTCCACTTCGGAAGCTTGAAACAAGAATCTTTTCGCCTTCCCATTTTTATCTTTCCCAACAAATACCATACCAAATGGTTTCAAACATATTTCTCCGTCAGCATACTTCTTCAACTCAAGTTGAGTTAAAGGAAGTGTTATTGACACTTTACAGTCAATCCCTTTGTTGTAGCTAACTCAACATTAGTAAGTGCTAAACACTCATAATAGTTGTCAATGAAAATCTTGATGTGAGCCAACCCAAGTCGAAAAACTTCAGGATCAGTTTCACGAAGATATGAAGCGTCTTTATCCTTTAGTAACAATGCAACTTGTATCAGATCATACAAGTTCATTAAGGGAAAATCAGCTACTGAAAAATCACATACTTGCCTATTCGCCCTCGAAACAATAAAGTGAAGATTATGCATCATATTTTCAAACAACACATCTCGCTTTATGCTTATCACCTTCTTTATCTTCACCAGAGACCAAATCTCATCTGGAAGTTTTCCAAGTACAGCATGAAATCTGATCTTCATATATGTGTACTCATCATCATTGTCAAATTTCTCAGCAATTTTGTACTGAGCCATGATGAACATCATTTCATTGATGGGAAAATCTAATTCACTCATATCAGTATTGAGAACAACATAGCTTCTCTTTGGCTTTTTTTCGAAAGCATACATATGATTATATGCAACTTTCGACTCTATTGTCTCATAATTGTAATGCTTTGAAGGATCACCCTTGTTCATCCCAGGTGGATCATTTGCACGAAGTCTCATAATGCTTTGTACAATTCGGAGCTTTTCAACCTCAGCCTCCGCTTCAGCTTTCTTTTCTTCCTTTGACTTTTCGACCATAACAGTTTTGCCTTTGTCTTTTATAGAGGAATTATCAACACTTTCTTTAGGCTTCGAACTGCTGCCTCCTTCTCCAATCACAATTCCTTTGGAAATTGATTTTGAATTTGACTTCGTTGTCACTGACATTGTTGTTACAGCAGTCGAAATTATTGTCACTATTTAGGAGTTCTCACAAGTTTCTGCTAACTAGTAAGTGTATATGTTAGGTTACATATTACTGAGACTAGAAAAATTTAGAAGGTTAGGTTTTAACTCTATTGCGCAGCTCTTTTCTGATTCCAAACGTTCTAGTGTGAGACCTTTCATTCGAAGAATTAGCTGGTTTTGGTGATATGTAATTGTAATCATTAGCTAGTTAGAGGAAGTTAGCGGGAGTTCTTTCTACATCTGATGGCAGAGAGTGGTGCAGAGTTTTACCTAGGAAAAACCTAGGAATAGATTTAGTGTTGGGAGCCTTAAGTTGATGAGGGTTAATTGTATGGATATAAAGTGACTTAGCATATTCAAGGCAATCCTTGAGGAAAGTAGGGTGAGATGTGGAAGGTGGGCCCGCACTACTAGAAGCAGAGGATCCATACTCGAGTCAAGGAGAGTTTCGATAAAACCAGGAAGCTTATAGAGTTTTATGATCCCTCGCTATATTTTTTATGTATATTCTAATGGTTTATATGGTCTATTTTTAGTATAGTGACTTTGCAAGGCTGTAACATCCATAAAAATCATGCCAATTTAAAACATTTAAAAAACAATAATTATTACGAATTGTTTCCAAAATGGTTTCATGTCAGAGTATCCAATAATCAAGTCATAAAAACATAAGGAGGTGCACGATCACGCCTTCGCCTTCCCGCGATCGTCTGAAGTACCTGAAACAAAATCAACAATTGTATCCCAAATCTTAGTGAGTTCCCCCAAAATCCCCGTACAACATATAAAACATAAACAATAATAGCATACTATGGGCCCAATCAACCATCGAGTTGGAATGCCCCAGGCCCTCAACCATCGGGTTGGAATGCCAACATACTATGGGTCCAATCATCCTTGGGATGGTATACCCTCAGACCACAACCATCGGGTTGGAATGCCCACATACTAAGAGTCGAATCATCCTCAGGATGAAATACTCTCGGCCTACAACCATCGGGTTGGAATGCCCAGGTCTGTTGGCCCATGCACCAGCAGATGCCTCAACCACCAATCAAACATGTGCACACATATCAAATAACCACATAACAGTCTACAGACAGTCAAGCTGATGTACAGATCACTAAGCATAACAACATCCTATCTACTAGGATACGGATCTAACAGATCATAATCACATAGAAACATCCTATCTACTAGGATACCGATCTAACAGATCATAACAGTAACAAAACAGGATAACAATCCAAAGGGCCGACCTTGGTGCTTTAGACCCTTGAGTATAGTGAGGAAAACTCACCTCACGAGTAGCACTGGATAATGATGTTAAATTCCCCAAATACAGCTCCAAACTCAAACACCTACAATCATCATAGGACCAATTCTATCAAGACTCAAATTACCATAATACCCTTGAAGTCAAACTTGGTCAACACTGGTCATAGTCAACAGTCAACAGTCAAGGTCAAACGTCCTTGTTGATCCAACTCGTCGAGTGCATCTAGCAACTTGTCGAGTTCCTTCAGAACTCAGAGACCAAAAACTCAAGTTGACTTGCCGAGTCTCCAAACAACTCGTCGATTTCATGCAGTGTCCAAAGACGGGAAAACCCTAACCAACTCGTCGGGTTATAACACTAACTCGCCGAGTTCATACAGAATCCAGAAAGGGGGAAACCCTCATTCAGCTCGTTGAGTTGACTATGTAACTCGTCCAGTTCCTTCATTCCATTTCTCATTCAGATGCTTTTAAGTGAAACCAAAGCTCCAAACTGTAGATCTAGCCTCCAAGGGTGTAGTTATCACGTAAAGTTGTTAACTTTACGTGCATGCAAGGCTTTAAGAAGCTAAAACACACAAAACTAGCCTTAGGTAAAGGTTTTAGACATGAAGGAGGGCCCAAGCTTCATAAAGCTTGAGGATTTATGTCCAAAAGGGCCTAGAGGAGTCCAGATCTGAAAACATGCTCTTGTGACAAGCTAAAATCCAAAAGTGACTCCATTTTGCACTAAAATGTCCATATACTAACATAAGAAGAGATCTAAGAAATGGAAGGCCAAGGTAAAGACTTTTTACCTTCAACTGGATGCCAACACGATGTAGATACTAGATCTACAAGCTTCTTCTCGTTCTAAGCCTCTAAATCTTCAAGCCTCTTCAAGGAATGCACCAAATACACACTTTAGTCTCACACATACTCAAAATAGGGTTAGATCTATTAGGGTTTGCTTCTGGACGTCAAAACACTACTACAAAAACAACCTTTTATCACACGCAATGCGTGTCATAAAACGCTCAGATGACACGCAAATGTGTGCCAAGGAAGGCCCTATCATAAAGAAAGATGACACGCTTTTGCGCATCGTCTATTTATGACACGCACTTACGACGCGCATTTACGACACGCATTTACGACACTCATTACGACACACAATGCGTATCAAGGAAGGCCCTGTTATAAAGGAAGACGACACGCATGTGCATGTCATAACCTTACGACGCGCGTTTATGACACGCAATGCATATCAAGGAAGCCCCTGTCATAAATGAAGATGACACGCATTTGCGTGTCATACACTTCAGCTGCCAGTGACGATACACATTTACAATGTGCATTTACGATACACATTTACAATATGAATACACATAATAAAAAGACAAATATATACCAAAACATTCAATTTCATCTAAATGTAAACAAGTTACCTAATATTACATGTCAAACAAGTTACCAAAACATTCAATTTCATCTTCTAAAATACAGAACAAAACTTCATAAAACAACAGTTATACACCCACCCACCCACCAACCATAACAACTCTTATTTTCCTCTCATGTAAGGAAACACTTTAACGAATATTAAGAAAATGGAAAAAAGTTACCCAACAAAAAGATTCTAACAAGCAGCCTGATCATGCTCCAGAAACATGTTGATAGGAAGGATGCCACTGCTTTGATAAGAAAGAACCTACAATAAAGATCAAGACAAGGGTATTTTACGTCTTTTGCACCAACAAGAGAACAAGATCAAGCCATTAAATGGGGCCCACATATATAATTATAACCTGGTTGCCAAACACTGACATTTGAAGCTTTTCTCTTCCGAATGACCTTACCTACATGCTCCAAAAAATAATGTTAATTTGAGATTCAGATTGAAGTTTACCTTTTTGGGTCTTAATGATATATGACAATTAGTAAACTTTATGTCATAGAGGGGTAAAATGTAAAAAGAAATGAGTTGAGAACTCATAGTACGGATGGCAGAAAAAGTTTCAGTGATACAATCGACTATTGAAGCTTGAGTCAACCCATAGGCTTTAAATACTTTCATATTTGATCATTTGTATACAGTTTATCGTTTGTATACAGCTGGATACATACATATATACGTGTATATATTAGTCAACAAGTAAAAATATGAAGAAAGGTTAAAAACATTAGAAGTTCTAGAAATTAAGGGTGGATTAGGGTTCTTACAACCTAAAATGATATCTTCATGACAATTCCATCAAGAACAAAAAACAATAAATTTCTTATTGATAGTTTAGGTAAAATTCTCATTGAAAGTTGAGGTAAAGCATCTATAACCCTATCTTTTCTTTTTCCAACTTCCGCCTCACTAGCCCCTCCAACCTGGATTATATTTTATTTTTAATCAATAAAATTAAAAAAATAACCAAATGGTTTAAAATATACCTTACAGACTATAACACCTCCTAACAACTTTGATAATCTCTGTTGTGCTTTCTCTTTGTCAAACATGGCAGAACTGTTCTCAATGGTTGACCTTAATTCCTCACATCTTTCTTCAATTTTCTTCTTATCACCACCACCATGTAGAATGATTGTATCATCAAGAGAAACAATAACCTAGTACACACACAAAAAAATTAAATCCTAAATACAAGGTTTAGTAAAAAATCACAATAATTAGTTTGGATTTTTTTTGAGGTAGTTATTTGGGAAATTTTCATTTATATCCTTGTCACTCTGAATATTACGTCGATATCTTTATAACCTTTAATATTAGGTCTATATCCCTCTAAAACTATAAAAATTACATCAATATCCAAAATCATATTTTAATTAGGATTATATAAATTTTTTATTAATTTTTTTATCTAGTATTAAAAGTTATATGTTATTTTACCAAATTTACCCTTTCCTAATTTAATTCTAAAATAAATCACTAGGAAGATTACGTATCATATCTCTTAAAAATTAGATTTATTTTTTTCAACAAACTTTACTTTAGAAACATCTTTATAAGTTATAGCAATATGTTCACAACAGAAACCATTTCATAAAAGCCTGCCCAACCTCACTTTTCATCAAGAATGATAACATTAGGGCTCCAACGGTAACAGAAAGATCAACCTTCCTTGTTTTGATGAGAAGCTCCACAAACTACCACCACCAGATCAGGAGGAGGATTTATCAGCACCACTAATAGCCATCACATTGCTCATCTACACCAGAACTACCAATAGGATCCTTGAATCAGACATGTATTTAACCTTTGAATTCTTATTTCGATTTATTTCTTCACTCACACACCCATCACCACCAGCTGCCAACCACAAGGCAATCCCAATATTAAGATCCTATAACACCAAAAATAACATGAACCCTTACAATAATATTAAACTTTAAAAAAAATGTGCAATTAACAGATCTATGTACCATTCACAAACAGACTGAATTTTCATGTAGAAAAAAAAAACATTTTCAAACTATGAGAGATACCCATGTAGATCTGAATACCTTCTAAACTCTGTGATCATTTAAGAAAGCTATCTCTATCTCATTGCACATTGATTCATAAAGAAATTGGAAGGGTGCTAATATAAAGGAATTTACCTAGAGTGGAGAAAGAAAATAATGCACAGCAATGGAAGCCCTTGACTGAGGTGAAAGAGAGACAATAACAGTTTTGCCAGTGTTTATATTAGATAGAAACTCATCCAAGCTTTGCTTCTCTAACATAACAGTCTCTGCAGAAGTAATGCACCCACTGCATGATTACATCAATGTTATTGTTACCAATTCAATTCAACAACACTTGATGTATAATGGCTTCTAGGAGTTAGTGATCAGGATGTGTTATCTGTATGCTAAGCAATCCCTGAGTGATATTTTTACTGGATCTGTTTGAATAATTTCTTTAGAAGGTGTTGTTTTACCAGCTTCTATTCAAGAAAAAGCACTTGGTGAATAACAATAGTCATATGTGTATGTATTTAAAGGATAAATAAGTGACACGTCACGTTTTGTCTCCATGGTCAATTTCGACAATTCTGCATCTATCTCTACTAGATTCCATCTGCATTCAAAAGTTGTTTGTATTATGAAAGAACTAAGAAAGTCAAAGTCAGAGGGTGATAGAAAAAATTCAAAACGCCAATTTCCTTCTCAAAGGGGCGATTTTTCTCAGCTCTTTCACACCCATCATAGCAGAGATTCTATCAAGAGCTAATTCACCATCAAAACTTACATTCAACAGATCAATTTCAACTGCCAAAACAGGTATGATAAGATATTAAGAATGGTGCATAAAAAATAAAACTAAAATCCCTAAACCAGTTTTTATTATACTGAACATAAAGCTAATCACACCTACATTTTGAATCTAGGCACTCATCTAATAAAGCTGCAAGTATCATAAAATCTAATCCACCAGAAAAAAGCACAGCAACTGGTGTCATACCTTAGTGTTAAAAGTTGAACTGTTATTGGATTTATTGTTATAATCTTTGAGTGTTGAACTGTTATTGGATTTAATGTTTTGAAGACGCATCAAGCCTTATTTTCCCTCGACACATGTAGCTTCCATTATTGGAATTAGCCAGGTTAACTACTTGAAGCTCCATCATATGCATACACTTTGTTGTTGAATCATTTAAAATATTGAATGACAAATACATTCAAAATCAAAAACATCTTCTTCACCATAAAAATGTCAAACCAGCTTTAAGATCTTTACAACTTCTATCTCCAAACTTCAACACTTCATATTGTACACGAATTCCCGCTACTTTAACACTAACTTCAACCTCTAATCATCAAGTTACAGATTACAATGCTGATATTTTCAGATTCTGTGAAATGGGTAATCTTAAAAAGGCCATGGATTTGGTTTGTAAGTCTGAAGAAATTGATTCCAAGACGTACTGTCACATCCTACAGCTTTGCACGGAGTCAAAGGCTCCGCACCATGGAAAGACAGTTCATTATTTGATATGTTCGAGGGGTATTGAACTAGATTCGGTTTTGGGTTCAAAGCTCGTGTTTATGCATGTGAGTTGTGGGGTTATGAGAGAAGGGAGGCGGATTTTCGATAAAATTGAGAAACATAATGTTTTTCTTTGGAACTTTATGATGAACGTGTATGCAAAGATGGGTGATTATGAGGAGACTGTATCTTTGTTCAGAATAATGCAGGAAGTGGGTGTCAAACCTGATTCTTACACATTTTCTTGTTTATTTAAATGCTTCACAGCTCCTGGGAATGAAAATTTCAGGGAAAATATCCATGGTTATGTTCTAAAGCTTGGGTTTGGACTTAATTGTACTGTCGTGAACTCCATGATTGCTTTTTACTTCAAGCTTGGAAACATTGATAATGCACACAAGCTGTTTGATCATTTTGTTGAACGAGATGTGATTACTTGGGACATGATATCATAGAGTTGATTCTTTGACATTCCGGGGATATTCACCGATAGACCATCACCAATGACCTGATTTACGATGAACTTATGTCAATGTTGATGGGTTTTGAGCACCATAACATCCCTATGGTGCACATACAATCCTAATGCTTTAGATCTAACTTTCTCTAGTTATACATGCAATTTTTCATTTTCCAAAGCATGAAGCCTAACTAGCATACAACATTGATATTTGAAACATAAAAACGAGTTAGATGATTACCTCTTGGTTGTAGCTTGTAGAAGTTGGCCTTACAAGAGCTTAGCACCTCAAATGTGATGCCTCAAATAAGTCACAAAACACCAAGAAAAAATGGAGGATTATGAGAGAGTTTTAGGAGGCACCAAAATCGTCTATACTCTTCTTATAATACTTGTGTTCCGATTTTAGGGGCTTAGGGGTTACATATATAGTGTAGAATTCCAAGGGTCACTTGTAAACCCTAATCCATTCACTTAGGATTTTGATCCAATAATTCATTTGGGCTAACACTTCATGGACTCTCACATAAGCTTAGTCCATCACTAATCAATCATGGATCATTAACCCAAACTATATGTATCACTGATTTACATAATCAGCCCCTGTTAATTTAATCGATCTCTTTTGATCACTAAATTAACTCCAAATTAATTCTTGATCAATACCAATTCAATAATATGATTTCTCAATTAATATATTATTCTTATAATATATTAATAAACCAAAAATAACCTCTTTCTCAAATATCCTTCCTATCAAATTTCTCTGGTGAATGCAACCCAAATGGACCATGCTACTATCAGGTCAAGTACATACCAATTATAGTTATGGGCTTAGACACCTAATCCAACAGTCTCCCACTTGGATGAGTGTAGTAACTATAACTGCAAGTACGACTTCAAAAACCGACTAGCAATCATAGCTCTCAAAGTCGCTGTCAACTCTGATCAATAACGCATCCTTTAGATAAGGGATCATATAATCCTCTGTTCTTCAAGATATCGTGTGGACAAATACATGGAATAAAGTCATACTCATTGTCCAACAGTTTGTTTCCCGATTTCTGATTTGTTTGACATAGAACTTAATTGAACACATCAATTGAGCCCTGACCGGGCCCGACACATAAGTCAAAACAAAATCATCGAGGGGCCCAAGATATCGCTTTTATTCCTCTTAGGATAAAAGGAACAGATAAACTTCGACTTATATGTTTGTACAAATTACTTGTTAAATTATGCACAACAGCACGTTTATAACATCAAGTTATTGTTGCGTTTACGCACTATCAATATACAACCAACTTGTAATCAACAACTCATATATCTTGGTTTCAAGATTATATGATATTATCGTCTCACAAGCACTCGTGATAAAATTCCATGAAGTGATTCGTGTGAGCGTGGGTTTAATCCAATACTCAAATCTTATTTCAGGAGCACTCATGAACGTTGTAGCAAACTTTTGCTATGTCTAAACACTTTAGACAATCTACAATCTAATTCATGACAGTTTAACCTCATAGCCTACTTCCAAAGTATGATCGACTGTGGATGGTTTGAATAATCTTATTATTCTGGAAGTCAAAACATGCAAATTGAAACAATAGTAAACAATTGACACAAGAGTAACTTTACTCATAAATAAAACTCCTTTTATTCAATCATCAAATGTCAATTACATTTTATCTATTACAAGTTTCTAAACAACTATCTAATCACTAAAACTAATATCGTCCTTCAACCCAATACTCCTAGCATGCTGCAAATGCTTAACACTACTCAGTCACTTCGAAAGGGGATCTATTGGGTTCTCCTCTGACGATACCCTATTTACTACGAGGAGTCCTTCTTCTATCTGATGTCTTATGAAGTGATATTTTCTGTCGATGCGTCTGGATCTGCCATTATCCTTTGGTTCCTTGGTTAAGGCGACCGCACTCTCACTATCACAGAAAATCTCCATAGGATCCTTTATAGCTGGTACAACTCCAAGGTCTCCGATGAAGTTCTTTAGCCATATCAACTCCTTCGACGCTTCACTTGCTGCTATGTACTCTGTTTTGCACGTTGAATCCGCTACAGTCTCTTGTTTGGAACTTTTCCAAGATACTGCTCCTCCAATTAGGGTAAATACCCAGCCCGACTGAGAGCGGAAATTATCTTTGTCGGTCTGAAAGTTTGCGTCACTATACCCTGTCACTCTCAAGTCATTACTCCCACCGAGGGTAAGGACCCAGTCCTTTGTCCTTCGGAGGTACTTGAGAATGTTCTTTACCACAGTGCAGTGAGATCTACCAGGATTCCCTTGATATCTACTGACCATGCTTAAAGAAAAGGCCACATCAGGGCGAGTACATGTCATAGCATACATGATCGAGCCAACTGCAGAAGCATATGGTAACTATACTCCCACTAGCATTGACATGGAGAATTACCTATTCTTTCTTGGAATTCTCCATGTTGAAACGTTTCAACACCTTGTCCAAGTAGATACTTTGACTAAGTCCTATTAGTCTTTTACTCATATTTCTCAATATCCTTATCCCTAGAATGTAAGCAGCTTCTCCAAGGTTCTTCATAGCAAAACACTTTCCAAGCCAGGACTTAACCTCCTGCAAGGTTGGAACGTCGTTTCCTATTAGAAGTATGTCCTCTACATACAATACCAGAAAACTAACTATACTCCCACTAGCATTGACATATACGCAGAACTCATCCTCGCTTCTTGAAAAGCCAAATTCTTTGACTTTCTCATCGAAACAAAGATTCCATCTACGAGATGCTTGTTTCAATCCATAAATGGATTTCTCAAGCTTACACACTCTATTTAGGTACTTCGCATCGACAAAACCCTCCGGCTGACTCATGTAAACATCTTCAGCCAACTTCCCATTTAGGAAAGCGGTTTTGACATCCATTTGCCATATTTCATAATCATGAAATGCAGCTATGGCTAGCATAACCCTTATAGACTTGATTTTGGCCACTGGCGAGAATGTCTCGTCATAGTCAACTCCAGGAGTTTGAGTAAATCCCTTTGCAACCAATCGCGCCTTATATGTGTGTACTTTCCCATCCATGTCAGTCTTTTTATTGAAGATCAATTTGCACTCGACCGTGTTACGACCAGGTACATTGTCAACCAAGTTCCAAACTTGATTGTCATACATGGACTGAATCTCACTGCCCACAACCTCTTTCTATTTTGCAGACTCGGGGCCCGCCATTGCTTCCTTGTACTTATTAGGCTCGTCTAATTTTACTACTGTACTATCACTGATAAACGTATCACCATCTGTAGTGATATGGAAACCATAAACTTAGGCACCATTCTAACTCTACTGGAACGTCTCAGAGGTAAGGACTCGTCAACTGGTTCAACAAGAGTTTCCTCCTCGGGTTGAGTGCTAGTGTTTGAGGTTCTTTCATCACTTAACTCTTGAAGGTATTCAAGGTCATTTTGCCTCCCACTGTCCTCTTAGGATATGAGTTCTCTTTCGCGGAAAACCCCTCTCCTCACAATGAAGATAACATTGTCACTCGGTCTATAGAAGAGATATCCAAAGGACTTTTGTGGGTAGCCGATGAAAATACAACGCTCACTACGAGGTTCGAGCATGTCGTGAGTCTCTCGTCAAACGAAAGCCTCTCAACCCTAAACCTTGTTATGTGCCAACGATGGAACCTTCCCTGTCCACATTTCGTGAGGTGTTTTGGCAACCTTCTTAGTTGGGACTAGATTAAGAATATGGGCGGTAGTCTCTAAGGCATACCCCAAGAATGAGACAGGTAACGAAGCTCTACTCATCCTGGAACGAACCATATCCAACAAGGTTCGATTGCGCCTCTCAGCCACACCATTTAGCTGTGGTGTCCTAGGTGGCGTCAATTGTGAAACAATTCCACATTCCTTAAGATAGTCGTGGAACTCGATACTAAGATACTCACCACCTCGATCGGATCGAAGGATCTTTATCTTCTTGCCCAATTGATTCTCCACTTCTTGCTTA